CAAAGCTGGAGCAGATTGAATCTGGGGCCGTTGCCCCTGGCAACCAATCAGCATCTCTCTTCAGTTTGCCCAGGTGAGGTTTGAAAATGAGACAGAGAAGCTGATTGGCTGCCATCGGTTACCACAGTCTTCACCCCCCGGCAGAGCTACACCGGGCATCCAAATCTTCAGCATCCAACAGTTCTCGGCGCGCCGGGTGCCGGCAGTTTTATTATGTATTAGAAAAGTACCTAAGGTGTGGAATCTGTCTGGCGTGTGCTGCCGCCTGTGTCCTTACCGGGGAGATTTACCATCACTTCCTGTCCAGGTGATGGGAGGCAAAACAAGGAACGGAGAAAAATCTCTTCTATGGGCAACCAGACATAGAACAGGAGATGGTCAGATACTGCAGGCATGGTACAGGAGATGGTCAGAGACTGCAGACATGGTAGAGGAGATGGTCAGAGACTGCAGACATGGTAGAGGAGATGGTCAGAGACTGCAGACATGGTACAGGAGACGGTCAGAGACTGCAGACATGGTGCAGGAGATGGACAGAGAGTGCAGGCATGGTACAGGAGATGGTCAGAGACTGCAGGCATGGTACAGGAGATGGTCAGAGACTGCAGGCATGGTACAGGAGATGGTCAGAGATGGCAGACATAGTGCAGGAGATGGTCAGGGGCGGCAGACATAGTGCAAGAGATGGTCAGAGACTGCAGACATGGTACAGGAGATGGACAGAGACTGCAGACATGGTACAGGAGATGGTCAGAGACGGCAGACATGGTACAGGAGATGGTCAGAGACTGCAGACATGGTAGAGGAGATGGTCAGAGACTGCAGACATGGTACAGGAGACGGTCAGAGACTGCAGACATGGTACAGGAGATGGTCAGAGACTGCAGACATGGTACAGGAGATGGTCAGAGACTGCAGACATGGTACAGGAGATGGTCAGAGACTGCAGACATGGTACAGGAGATGGTCAGAGACTGCAGACATGGTACAGGAGATGGTCAGAGACTGCAGACATGGTACAGGAGATGGTCAGAGACTGCAGACATGGTACAGGAGATGGTCAGAGACTGCAGACATGGTACAGGAGATGGTCAGAGACTGCAGACATGGTACAGGAGATGGTCAGAGACTGCAGACATGGTACAGGAGATGGTCAGAGACTGCAGACATGGTACAGGAGATGGTCAGAGACTGCAGACATGGTACAGGAGATGGTCAGAGACTGCAGACATGGTACAGGAGATGGTCAGAGACTGCAGACATGGTACAGGAGATGGTCAGAGACTGCAGACATGGTACAGGAGATGGTCAGAGACTGCAGACATGGTACTGGAGATGGACAGAGACTGCAGACATGGTACAGGAGATGGTCAGAGACGGCAGACATGGTGCAGGAGAGGGTCAGGGACGCAGACATGGTACTGGAGATGGGCAGAGACTGCAGACATGGTACTGGAGATGGGCAGGGACTGCAGACATGGTACAGGAGATGGTCAGAGACTACAGGCATGGTACGGGAGATGGTCAGAGACTGCAGGCATGGTACGGGAGATGGTCAGAGACTGCAGGCATGGTAAGTAAGCAGCTAGGCAGGGAAAACTTTGACTACTGGGGCCACTCATAAAGTACCAAGGGCCACAAGTTGGGCATCAGGGCCTTAGGTCAACAAAACAGCAAGATAATTAGCATTTTACAAAAGGTTCAGCATAAGCTCCAAGCTTGTGACTTCTCAGAGGAGTGGAAGAGAGTAACATGGGGTCTATCTTGCAGAGGCTCCTGGAGGTCCTCCCGCGATACCTGCACATGAAGATCGAGCCGTGCGAGGAGGAGGAGCAGACGCCGAAGGAGAGGAGGAAGAGCTCGCTGGGAATCATGCTGAAGGCCGAGGAGTACGTGCTGAAGAAACCGCGCAGCGAGCTGATGTTCGAAAGGCAGAGGGAGCGGCACGGGCTGAGCCGGGACTCCCGGGGCCACAGAGGTGAAGAGGAGGGAGAACGCAAAGGCAGAAAGGGGCAGTGGAGGTGGCGGATAGGTAAGGACAGGGCAGAGAGGCGGCCATTTTGTGCCGAAGCCGCCATATTCGGGCTGAGCCCCCCAAAATACACGCCGATGTAACCTACAGTATGAGCTCATTAGGAACTAGCTGCACCGAGGGGGCCGACATACAAATCCTGGAGCGCCAGCAGAGCAGGACACCCTCCAAGCGGCCATCTTCTCCAAATTCGATTGGTTGTTGGCAGGGCTGTAGCTACCATGGGGCGAGTGAGGCGAGTGAGGCCTGGCTGCGCCCCCTCGCCCCTGTTACCATGGTGAGCACAGGGTGCCATTGGCAACAGGGGAGCCAGGCGGCCAACACAGCCCTGGCTCGGCAGGGAGAAGAGGAGTGGCACAGGCTTATGCTTCTCCTCGGACCCCCGCTGTATGGGCAGATGATTCTGCGTCCTCAATCTCTTTTTCTATTTCAAAAGGGAGTTGTCAGGGTTCTGTTAAAGGCTTGTTCACACCAAGCGCGTTCCAGGATCTGTTACAGACCGCATCAAAAATGCGCCCAATGTACTCCAATGGTATTTTGGGCTCTAGTTCACACCGCAGCGTTCAGTTCCAGAGCATGTAAAAAAAACTGCAGCAAGTCCTTTTTTACCTGCTCTGGAACGCATGCAAACGCCCTGGAACGCACTAAAAGCCCATTTTAAACAACAAAAACTTTTTTTTTAACCAAAAACGGCCCTGAACGCATCAAAAACGCGGCAATATTGTGCAGAGCAAAGCTAAATGTAGAAAACAAATTACCTCCCGGCGCCGGAACTCCATGTTCTGGACGTTGGGTGTGCCGCCCCTCTGCTCAGTGCCTCGGTGACCTTGCCGGGAGTCCGGCCCTGCTTCCATAGTGATTGGATGAAGTTGTCTGTGCTACCTGTGAGATTCCCCTCAGACATTTGTAGATATAGAACTTTAGCAGATGCTAGGAAATAATTGGAGCCAAAACAATAGGGGGGGAGGGGGGGGGGCATAGACTTAAGATTTTGCAGGAAAAAAATGGATTCCCCAGCAGCAGCTGAAAACGAAAAACCATCTCTGGCCACAATACTCGCATCCTCTCTGACGCTGCCCTCTGCAGACCCAACTGTCAGAGATCTAGCACCAGTCCTCCTCTACCTTGAATGACACCCAGCATCCTTCAGCCCACTTCCTGTGAATCCAAGGTGTCAAGAACCCGCCCCCTTTACCTGTGACTCTCAGGAGAATTCTCCATGCTCCCTCATTACATGGAGTAAAAAGAGGGCGACCTCTAATGCTGCAGGACCAGACCTCGGTAAAAGGTATGTATATTGAAATTGAAGGGTCGGGGAGGTACTCCCAGGAGGTGAAGGTGGCAACGAGCGAGGTGGGCTCCGAAAAGCTAGAAAAGGCCAAGAGCTCAGTGACGATGTAACACAAGACGCGGCTCTGCGCTGAGACCAGCTAGACTGACATCTAGTGAAGGACGTGGACTCACGTATGGTCTATTTAGGGTAATGGCAGTAACCAATCGTCTTGCTCTGTTGCAGTTGACGGATTTGATGTCGGCGTGACCACTCCCCTATTTAGGAATCTGGCCCACATTGCCCCGGAGATAAAGGAGTGCGTGGAGGCCTGCAACTTCATCACCTCCAGCACAAAGGACCAGAATAAGACTAGTGCGGTAAGTCCCGAGCAGCCAACAGTGTGCAAGGAATCAGTTCTATGGGAAGGTATTGCGACATGGAATATGTATTAATACAAGCCCCCCCCCCCACCCCCCCATTTCCCTTAGATATACCTAATCTGCAGGGCAGCAGTGACCTTCCCTGTGGAGACTCCCAGTACCACAAAGCCTTTCCTTCAACCGGCCAACCCACCCACCAATTTTCCATTACTTTCAACTAAAAGCCCCTCTACAAAAGTACAACTCTCTGACCCAATCAGGACTTCGTAGGTACCGTCATAGTCTCAGCCCATGGACGTGGTTCCATAATGCCAAAGCACAGGAATGACCTTATATGTGTGTGTCGCTGCTCCTTCATTGTCCAGTCACAGGCCCTGGACCAGGCTGCATTGCTGAACCGTAGAGTGGTCTGCAGAGAAATGAAGGATGTAGCTTTGGTGTCTGGGCCGGTTGTTTATTATACAGGATTTATATGGCGCCAACAGTTAATGCAGCGCTGTACAATATAAGGAAGACATTACAGTTACCGTACAAGACAAGATGGTAAAGGAGGGCCCTGCCCCCTGAGGGCTTACGATCTAGCAAAGCCAAGTCCTTAACCTCCGTGCAGATTATATTGCAATCCTAGAGTGCAGGGGTCAGGAGTAAGCAATGCCGAGTGCAGGGGCAGAAGTATGTAATGTAGAGTGCAGGGGCAGAAGTATGTAATGTAGAGTGCAGGGGCAGAAGTATGTAATGTAGAGTGCAGGGGCAGAAGTATGTAATGTAGAGTGCAGGGGCAGAAGTATGTAATGTAGAGTGCAGGGGCAGAAGTATGTAATATAGAAAGCAGAGGTCAATAGTAATAAATGCAGAGTGCAGGGGTCAGGAGCAATTAATGCAGAGTGCTGAGTCAAGAGTATGTAGAGTGCAGGGGTCAGCAATGCAGAGGGCAGAAGTATGTAATGTAGAGTGCAAGGGTCAGTAATGTAGACTCCAGGAGTAAGTAGAGTGCAGGGGTCAGGAGTAAGCAATGCCGAGTGCAAGGGCAGAAGTATGTAATGTAAAGTGCAGGGGCAGAAGTATGTAAAGTAAAGTGCAGAGGTCAATAGTAATAAATGCAGAGTGCAGAATTCAGGCGTAACTAACACACATCTCCCATCACACAAACACCAAGCAAAATCCCCCCCTTTCCAGTATAAACAGTTATCCCCCCCCACACACACAAATCCTCCCTCCCTTTCTGAATTGTACAGACCTCAGATACAGTGACACCCGGCAGGGGGCCGTCCTCCCAGATCTCTATTTGGCTGTGTAATATGACATGTCAGAGCTGAGGCGCAGGCCTGCACATCCCTCGGCTCTGCAATGTCCAATTCCGTTCTGATTCAAGGTCTGCAGATGGGGTCAGAAGATGCTGGCGACATAACTGTTCTGCATTCTACCCATCACTTGGCTGCGGTAGACAGTGGTTAGAGGCTTTGCCATTGCTGTCTGTGTCCCTTATAGGGAGATTTCCCCTGACTTCTTGTCAGGAAAGTGAGGGGAAATCTCTCGGGGGACTATAAACACACGTTGAGGAGAGTAATGAGGGGTTAGAACTTCAGAATTGTTTTTTTTTGCTGTTCTTATCGCTTACCTTCCCGCTCTGGTGACAACTGTCCCATCCATTTCTTGTATGGGTGTCACAGAAACAGGAAGAGGCAGAAAATCTCTGCAATGAGGTCACAGGATTCAACAGGAACTAGACAGAATGAAGTACAAATATTTCCCACCATTTAGGCTTTATGAAGCAGCAGAGCTGTGATGACTTTCTTCTCTCCGTCTCCAGGAAATGGAAAACTGGATCATGATCGGGAAAGTTATCGACGTCTTGTGTTTCTGGGGCGCCCTGCCCCTCTTCGTGGTGGGCACCTTCGCCATCTTCATCACGGGGCACCTCAACAGCGCACCGGAGCACCCCTTTAAAGGAGGCGGACGCCAGTTTCCCCTGTGCACGACTTCTAGCTAACGTAAAATCTTTATTAAAGTGTAGAAAGAAAAAAAAATTACACTGGGTACATCTCTGCACCACATGCACGTTCCCCATGTTCATCCCTCATAGCATAGAACAATGATGATCCCGCCAGAAAACTTCATCGCTGTGCTCTGTGCTGCACTGACATGCCAAACAGTGCTATCAGCCCTTCCTGGTTCTAGGTGTTCTACAAAATGCCTCCCGTCCTAGCTTACGGAGGAGAGGGGAAGGTGTTCTCCGGTCCTGTAGTGACAACACTGCTCTGTCCATTAATACAGTGAGTGAGTGTTGTCACTCTAACACAGGAATTGTGTTACTGGCAGGATCACCGGGTGATAAAGGGAAAAAACTATGAAGAAGAAAGCCAATGCAGCCGCCACATCTAAGGACGGGTACGCTGCCAGGTATCGAATGTTGGCTCTACATGTCATCTTACACGTTCAGTTCGAAGGCCGTTCCACGATCAGAAGCACGGCGATCGAGAAATATATTTCAAAGGAATTTTTTTGTGCTCGGAGTTCCGCTACAAGTATAAATAAAGTTTTTCTTTAACATTTGGATGGAATGTAGAAGGATTAGCTGCCTCTAGCCCCCATTGAAGCCGACATCCCACCATCCGCCACCATGCAAACCACTCGCCTCCCAACAGTGGCCGGATCTGGCCATACAGAGCACTGAACCTTAAAGAGAACCTGTCATCAACCAAATTGCAGGTAAAAACACAGCATACAATATATAAAATGGTTACTTGCAGTGTTTCCCTTCCATTAATATATATTTTTCTCTATACTCGCAATGTATCATAGTGAGGTCATCAATCATTGAACTTGCTAGAAAATCTGACAGCTCCTGGGAGAGTCAATTCCCTAGCACAGGAGGAGTGTCTATTTAATGTCTGCGGTGGTGGCCAAGCTCCCCCATCCCTCCCCCTCCCTACATAACCTTTTATGTAGCTGCCAGGGAAGGAGCGCAGGAGAATACTATAAGGTGTCACTTGAGTGACAGCTCTATGTCTGCTGGGGCTGCTGAAATCACATCCAAGATTGCGGCAGAAGCAGCAGTCTCGGGCCTATTGGAGGTGTGCCCAAGGGCGGCTTTTACAGGTAAATAACATGAATAAAATATAATACACATACAGGGGTCAGGGCTTTTCCCCATAGTTCTCCTTAGGGTAACGGGAGGACACAAACTAGCGTCCTCCCGTTACCCTAAGCTCAGTATAGAGCTGTAGCTCGCGGTATACTGAGACGCCGCAGCTGAAGCGGATCCCGACAATTATGCCGGGATCCGCCCAGCTGCGTGACTGACAGCTGGCTCTGCCTATCTAAAGGCAGAGAGAGCTGTACCCGCCCCCTCCCCCATCCGTTCCTGCAGTCAGCGCTGGAGGATCGGAGCGGGGAGGGGGGAATCCAGCCCCTCCCCTGTCACGGCAGAGAGCCGTGACAGGATCGAGAGGTGAGCGAACGCCGGTACCTCGCTCACCTCCCCATCTACTCTACAGTCTCATTGTCACAGGTCGGCTAGAACTATGAGGTGAGTGAACAGCACTCACCTCATAGTTCTCCTTTAACTGAACAAACTGAAGAGAGAAGCTGATTGGTTGCCATAGGCAACTGCTCCAGTTTTGATAAATGCCCCCCATAGAACCTTATGGGGAGACTGTTATTGAAATGAATAGTGTGAGTACAGAGGGGGGAATTTATCAGAACTGGAGCAGACAGATTCCGGAGCAGCTGCTCATGGCAACCAATCAGCGTCTCTCTTCAGTTTGCTCAGGTAAGATTTGAAAATGAGAGAGAGAAGCTGATTGGCTGCCGTGCACATCTGCTCCAGATTTGATACATTCCCCCCATTGCATCTTATGGGAAGACTGTTGATGAAATGGATGGTGTGAGTACAGGGTCTCTTTAGGTGACAATTTCAAGCTAATGGCCACATAACAGGGCGGACATTTTATCTCGGCAATGGCCGGCGCAGACATCGGGAGCTTCAGACCCGTCCTAACTTACTTCAGGCTGTCGTTGTGAGTTTTGTACTCCATGATGGTGTTTGGTGGGAGGTTGAGGACTCTCCGTAGGGTGTCCCGGATGCGGACTGTACTCAGCTGATCGTTGGCTGTCTTGTTCCAGATGGAGAGGATGTCCTCCTGTGGGGGGGTCAGACAACACAATGTCTAATCTGTCAGTGCCGCGGGTACACGGAGAGCGTCAGAGACCGCAAAATATCACGCACATTGGAAATATATGAAATGTGTCAGGAGATATTATACCCCAAAACAACGTACAGATCAAATACAGAGGTCAGCGATCACTCAGAAGAACCGAAGACGGTATGTATCAATGTAACTAGGGATGCACCAATACCGGTTTACCGGTATTGAGTACGAGTTCCGATATTTTACTTTCAGTACTCGCCGATATCGAGTACCGATACCGATGCTTCAGCTGGCATGGAGCCGGCCCTCTCAGGAAGCCTGGTGGCGGGTAATGACACGCCGCCTGGCTTCATGATTGACCGGGAAGCCGGCTTCCCAACCAGTCAGCATGGAGTCGGCTTCCCGACCAATCAGGAAGCTGGGAGGCGGGTCATTACTGGCCAACTGGCTTCCTGATTGCCCAGGAAGCTGGCTCCATGTTCCTCTACGGCACCGCCAGTGAGAGGAAATCTTCCCCTGACCAGAATTTCCTGTATCGGAGCATTTGGGCAAGTACAAGTACTCACCCAATACTCAGTATCGGCAACAATACCCATTCTAGTATTGGTGCATCCCTAATTGCGCTCAGTGCTCACTCCCCAACCAGAAGTTTGATGGAGCAGAGCCGAGGGATCCAGGATGAGCATCTTTAAATAGTACAAAATGTAAATGTGTGGCCATATTGGAGAATGTTTCCTCGGAGGAATGTGCAGAGTTTAATTCTACTGAGAACACCGAGTGCTTGAAGAGATCCCGCACCCCCACCTAACTTCTACTCCCTGATGGGTGGATGGGGTCTGTCATAACACTACATGTACTCAGCTATGATTAGAAGCCGCCCCAATCCTCAATCCTACCCCAAAAATAGATGTGTAGAAAATACAACCGATCCCGAAATACTGCCGGACAGAACTAGGACCAGCTACCAACTCTTTTCTAGGAGTGTCTAATGTCTGCGGCGGCCCAGCTCCTCCACAACGTTTTATGTAGCAACCAGGGGAGGAACGAAGGAGAATACTATATAATGTCACCGAGTCTGGTGGGGCTGCTGACATAACATCCGAGATGGCGGCACCAAGCAGCAGTCTCAGGACTGCCAGACAGAACTAATCACCAGCTACCAACTAACAAGGAAATAGAAGCTGGAGGAAGATATCCAGGCAAGCAAGTTCCCAAATATAATACTTCACCTTTCTTTGGCTCACATTTCCCGCCCGATGGCTGATGAGGGCAGCTGCATGAATCACACAATGGATCAGTTATATCAAAGTGACCTCTAGATGTGCTCCCGGCAGGGGTGAGTGCTGACTAGGGATGCACCCATACCGGTATTTTGGTATCGAGAATTTTTTTCCGGTACTCGCCGATACCAATTACCGAGTAACGGAAGTCCCATTCAGGAAGCCAGGTGGCGTGTAATGACTCGCCACCTGGCTTCCTGATTAGCCGGGCAGCGTGTAAAGAGTCGCCACCCGGCTTCCCGATTAGCAAGAAAGTCCCCTCTTACCTTAGTGTGTGCAGCCTGTCACCCCCGGGGCCTCTCCAGCGAGAACGCGGCCTTCGTCCGGTACCCAGCCGGAGCCGTCCAATCAGGAAGCCGGGCGCCGTGCTTTCTGATCGGCCGGCTCCATGCTCTCTTGTCATGACATGACGAGGGAGCATGAAGCCAGCTTCCCGGCCAATCAGAAAGCAGGGCTTCCTGATTGGACGGCTCCGGCTGGGTACCGGACGAAGGCCGCGTTCTCGCTGGAGAGGCCCCGGGGGTGACAGGATGCACATACTAAGGTAAGGTAACCTTACCTCACGAGGCCAGCTTCCCGACCAATCAGGAAGCCAGGCAGCGCGTCATTACACGCTGCCCGGCTTTCTTATTGGCCGGGAAGTCGGCTCCATGCTCTCTCATCACAAGTGACGAGAGAGGGTGGAGCCGCTTCACGGTCAATCACGTAATGACGCGCTGCCCGGCTTCCTGATACCGGAAGTACTCGTGCTCGGCATCGGAGCATTTGGGCGAGTACGAGTACTTGCCCAAATACTCGGTATCGGCACCGATACTAGTATCGGTGCATCCCTAGTGCTGGCCATGCACACAGCGATAGCCTGCAGCCCGGGTGTTGTGTGATGGACGACGTCTGCCGCTCTTCCCTTCTACATAGATGAAAGTAGTCACTCGCACTCGAGACCATGCGGCCTCGTCCTCCGTTTGCCTGAGGACGGGGCCGCATGGTCTCGAAACATCGCTAAGGAGATGTGTGTTATCTCAGGTCAATAAACAGCATTCGCTTTAATATCATGGAGTGCGAGTGACTACTTTCATCTATCTACATTTCATGGAGGCATCCGTTGTCACCACCGCACCCACCCAGTTGGATTTGGGGTTTTGTCAGGTGTGTGATGGGACAAGAGGATTAACTTCCCTTCTACATGGGATTTCCTCCTGATTAACCACTGAGATAGCCAATCAGAGCAGAGCTGGATTTCGGATATGATCGGCAGCTCAATGTCATAAACCGATCAGTAACATTTATAGAGGACGTCGGTTCTACCAAACCCGACATGTATCGCGTGGCCTTGTGCAGAAAGGAGAAGGTTCTACCTGGAATCGGATGGACACGACCACTCCGCAGATCTCCTCTCCCACCATGAACTGCTCCCCCATCATGGCCAGGATGATGTTCTCCCAGAAGCGGGAGGCCAGGCCTTTCCTCAGGCGTATGATCCACTTCCCTCCGTGTTTATTGGCTTCGTCCTGCAGAGAGACGGACAGTCTGTTAGAGGGTCTGCTACGATCTGTGCCGTATCCTGCAGTATGATCGACCTCCTCCATCGCATGGCATTCCCTAAAGAGACCCTGTCACCACAACTCCCAGTGTACAATAGTAGATACTATGTCATTCCAGCAGCAGAGATCCTTTAGAATGTTCCTTTTATTTACTATATATATATATACACATACTTTTTTATACTTCGCTCTGTAAATTCTGTGACAACACTGAGCGGGGAATCGGCGGCCACAGCAAATGTGAATGACACTGAGAAGGACCGTGCCGGCTCCCCTGTGTGCGAGTCCAGCAATCAGCTCTGTATGGTCCTGTGTGCGGTCATGTACTATGTCATCTAATGTAGATTAACCCCTTTATGGCCAGAGGTCGCGCCTGCTAGATGCCCCAACCAAATTTAGCAGCGACAGAATGCGTCTCATAATCAGACAAGAACTCTAGGACTAAGTGAAGAACTTTTTTTTACTCTGTGGGGAGTTACCGTGGCATCATTAGTGCAGACCAGTGGCAGTCAGTGATGGAATGGCCTTTAGAGCTAGGAGTGTGCACAGCTGCATCTTCCTAGTTCTAAAACTCGTTATCTTTCACCTCGAATATTGCAACTGCCTCCTCCTTGGCTTACCTATACACAGACTATACAC